ATGTGCTTCGTCTTCCTATTGAGGCGCAGCATGAGATCGTCAAGTGAAAGCCAGCACCGATGTGTGGATAGAATATGGAGTATATATATGTGTATTTAACAGCAGCTGCAATTCCGGCGCCACTTTGAGCATCAACGTGGATGCCCCTGAATTTGCTTCGTTTTGCTTGTGGCATGCTGTCCGGCTTGCCATTTGCTGGTGCCTCCGGCTCCAGTCCAGCTGCTGCCCCTCTATCTCCATCTTCTCCTCAACGTAGCCCACCGTGGTCACCTGCACCGTATTCTTGGTCATGTGCAGAGCACGCTACAGAGAGGCCGCGCGGCCATTACACGCGCTGCCCAGTTGCTCTGATCCGCCTGCAGTTGGACGCGACACGCATTGGACACCTCGTTGTCGCTGGTCAATAAATGTTCCGCCAGAAATATTTGGTAACATTTATTTTGCTGTAATGAGTTTTGGCGATCAAAGAATATGAGGCCAATAAGAAAAATCGGACTCCGATTTTATTACCACCTGTGTCCAGTGGCGCATCAACTTTAGTTGCTGCGTCAAGAAACTAAATTCTTCTTTCCAGAATGTTAGAGGTCTTAGATCTAAAGTTTTTAGCCGTTGAGGCTTCTCGTTCTCTTAATTTTCAAATTATTGCTCTTAATTAAGCCGGACATCTCAGATTCAATTTTTACCTCCAAATACATCACCCACAGATGTGATCGAGCTTTCCGTATCGGTGGAGGAGTACTCATAGCTTTTGAGGCAGCTCTTTCCTTGGAACGCATTGAACTTCCCATCTCAGAGATTGAGTTCGTGGCTGTAAGAGTTGTATTTGGAAGATTCTGTATCTTTATTTCAGGTTGTCCATTTATCAAATCCATCTTAATGCTTTTAAATATGTCTCCTCCTTACCTTCTGATAGGGACATTTTAATTGTTCTTGCGGACATTAATCTGAGTCAAACGAATTTATTGATGGTCTACATGAAATGTCCTTACTGCATGTTAATCGGGTGCGCAATTCAAGAAATAGATCTCTTGATTTGATATTCGTGTTGGATTCGTTCAACAGTGTTGTGCACAGGATTAACCGACTTACACTTCCTGAAGACCCTTTTCATCCAAGTCTGGATGTCATCGATCTACCAGTCCGAGTGCCTATCAAGGAATCGGAATTAGCTGCACGTGTCCGTTGTTTCCGAAAGGCGAATTTTTATAAACTAAATAATCTTATTTTGCAAGTCGGCTGGTCCCGACTTTTATGATACATTGTACGCGGTCTTTGATATCTGTGTTCCTCTTGGTACTCAGCGAGGTCTGATAGAACTCCTTGGCTCTCAAGTGAACTAATAAGATTACAAACTGTGAAGTCGTGGTGCTATAAGAAGTAAAATTGGGAATTCACTCTGATATCTCCCGTTATGCAGTTGCCCGATCAAATTTTTCCATCCAAAATTCCATCTCCTATTAGAATAACCTTTGCCGTTGTCGCCTTCAGTTTTCACATGATTCTAAGCATTTTTTTAACTTTGTCAATTCTAAATGAAAAACTATTTGTCTTTTTCTGTTAAGTTTGCAGATGAGATTTTCAAAGTTTCTCAAGTTTTTGAGAAAATCATTACATCTCAACTGCAACATTTATAGTTATATTATTTTACCTTCCCAGCATAGGTTTCTGAAGCGCAGATCTACAAACACTAACCTTCCTAAGTTAACTTCGCTAGTAATTGATGGGTTTAAGAAAAGAATGCAGACTGACGTCATCTATACTGATTTCGCCTTTGTCAACCACCCCTTACTACTGCATAAATTATGCCTTCGACTTGATCTCAGACTATTTGCGTAGCAGAACCCAAAAGGTTCTATTCAGATATTTGTTTTATAAACGTATTCTGGTGACTTCCGGTTTTCCTCAAGGTAGTCATCTTGGCCCGCTACTCTTTACTCTTTTCATCAATGACTTACCCTCGATACTGTCTTACTCTCGATTATTAATATATGTTGTGAAATTATGCCTTGCATATAAAGAGATCGCATAATCTTTTACAAGATGACATTGATGTGCTTTAGGTTTGGTGTCTAGCCAACATCTTAAATTGAAACTGCTCCAAATGTAAGGTAATAACTTTCTATAGAAGTCCTCCCCAATTGGTTTCTGACAACTTTGATAGCCTACTCAAGCGTGTCAACAGTTCTTGTAATGAAGATAATGATATACTTGTTATTCTTGATTATAAACTTAAATTCGACCGTGGTCAATAAGGCCAGAATTGTTTTGGGAATTGTTTATATATCTTTGGTACTACCTATGCTTGAGTATCCCTCATGTATCTGGTCATCACAATATTCTATTCACCAAGATAGAATTGAATCTGTACAGAAAAAACTCTTGTTATTTGCGCTTCGTGCTTTAAATTGGGATCCTCGTGTGCGGTAACCATCGAACTCCAGCAGTCTTTTGATGATTATTCTTCCTTGCTTAAGTAATCGTAGCCCTATGCTGGGTGTAATATTCATTCATAAACTAATCACTGGGGAAATCAATTCTTCTGTGTTGACTAGCCAATTAAATTTATCTATCCCAACTAGACTAACACGTAATTTTACACCTTTATCGCTTCAATTTTGCGCAACGTACTTGCCTTGCATGAGCCGTTCAGAGTTCTCTGTGATGATTATAACAAGCATTACAAAGTATTCTCTTCCTCTTATAAGGTCTTATATTCTAAACTATTTAGCTAGTAGATAGTCTTAGCATATAGTCGAAGTTTGTACTCGTTTTGTATTTCGCGACTGAGTCGTACGTTACTCGACTGCGCCCATCAGTCGGTTGGGCGGGAGGTGGAATGCAGTACATTGCATCGGATCCCATTTTTTGAGCTTGTCACGGTAGGGAGGGTAGAGGTAAAGAGAGACATCCAACACCTTAGTTAGAGAGAATTAAAAAATAAAGCTTGTATTTGCTATCGCGTAATCCACTGATTTTATTTTAATTATAGCTAGGAAGCTAAAATTATCACTGTAGTTACCTTAAGTGAAATAGGTGCACGTTAAGACGTGGTTTCGGGAAATTCCACCAGCAAGTGTGGAAAAATCGCGAAAAGAGTTTGTATGAAACTCTTTTGTTTACCATCCGATTGGCCTTAAGCTTATTTTCAAAGATCTTTGTTCAAATTCATTTGAGGGGTGTTTCGCAATTTTTGGAATATCGATCCCTCCTTGGTGGAAATGGGGATCAAAAATTTGGTGGGTGACGTTTCGCCCTCAAATTCATTTTTAAAGATCTATATGAAAGTTCATTTGAGACATGTTTTTCAGTTTTCGCAGAAGCCAAACTAGTGCGGTGGAAATGCGATTCAAAGATTGTTTGGGTGTAGTTTTAAGTTGTGTCCGATTTGCTTCAAACTTATTTTCGAAGCCCTACATAAGAACTTTATGTACAGGTGTTTCAGCGATGTGGGAAATTCCAACCGCAACAGTGGTAAATTGGCAAAAAGTTTGTATGAAAGTCGTTTGTTGACCATCCGATCAGTTTTAAAATCATTTTCAAAGCTTTTTGAGAACATTTACTTTACACGTGCCACGGGCAAGGCCGGATTATACCCGCTACTATATACATATATATAAGTATATTAAAATATGCTTACGTATTTTCAGGTACATCAACTAACTGAAACTGTGTTGAAGACACTTGATAACTTATACATAAATGAAAAGAAAAAAAACAATAAGAAATCTTATTTCCATCTTCTTTGCGGGTATAGTATTTATAACACGGAATTCAAAAATAACCAAAGAATATGGTTTATACTTTACAGGTAAGTAGTTTTATTTTGTGTAAAATAAGTATAAGCCCCATAGTTTACGTAGTGATATTTGCAAATCCAGCTTTGTAGATATAGCTTAGAAATAAGTAAGAGTGCTCTAGTCCGGATTAACAGTTTTGAAGAAAATGCTTCTGCTAAAACAAGAATCAGCTCGCTTGCTCTGTCTGTCCGTCTAAATGAAAGCGTCTATCTCAAAGCCTATAAGGGCAAGAGAAATTCTGTTCTGCTTTTTCCAAACAAACAAGAAAAATCGTTGGCTTGGTGTAAAAGCTTCTCGGTCCGTCTGGTCGTTTCTTTTAGTATTCGCCAACGCGGGTCAGTTGTCGGTCACACTTCCATTAACGCGAAGTAAACTAATAAATTACACACATACATTCTTGCGCGTCCTTACCCTTCCAGAGGGTATTAGATAGATATATTTTGCATAAGATATGCGAACTAATTATATCCTGAACCCATTAAAAATGGTTAAAAGCTATTTATGCAAATGTATGTAAGAGGCACAAGGAAGCATCTCCGACCCCATTAGGTAAACATATTCTAGATCAGCATGTCTGAACGCAAGGATCTGAGAACTTATAAGAGCTGTTTGGTCAAGTAACAGCAGAGACAACACCGACGGCTGCGGACATCATCCAAGCAGAAAATAACAATCATAATTACAGCCTAAGAGCAAATAGTTTTTGAGCGCTCTTTGTAAGCTGCTGCCCACTCTCTTTCTGCATTGCTTTGCTTTGCATTGACTCCCGCTGCCCTTCGCTCTAACCGGCGAGCGTCTTATTGGAGTTTCGTTTCGTTCGCTTTACATATTGTCATAGTTTTTAGTTTTTCGTTTGATCGCAACCAAGGCACAACTAATTCGAGTTGGCTGCCAAGCAACAATATACAAAACATAATCTCTACTAAGTGCCCTGCGCGGCAATAAATATATTCGAAAACAAATATACATAAGTGTTTGAATTTCGCTGCACACAAGCAGTTCGAATTAATTAGTTGCAAAAAAGCTTGCAACTACACATTCTCCCCCCGTTGGAAGGCAAGGGCTTTCAACATCATCCTGTTTGGGCAGCAAACACAGCTTTCGTACAGCTCTACGTATGACCCCAGTCGCAGTTTGAAGCACAGCAACTCTGGATACCCCATCAGATCCAGAGATTAGCTCTTGCACTCTAGCTAGTGGCCACTACAGCGGCGGTAGATTCTCATCCTTTACAAGGACAACATCGTTAATGGAGAGTCCAGGCTGAGGAGTGCGCCATTTGGAGCGCTGTTGAAGAAGCGTCAAATATTCTTCGCGCCAACGGGCCCAGAATACTTGTTGGAGATATGTGACGCGCTGAAAATAATTAAGCCGATTGAAGTTAAGCTGCCTTAGATCGGGCTCAATGTATGATGAAGTTGGCGCTGTACCCAGGAAGTGTGCGGGTGTCAAGACGTCAAGATCACCTGGATGCTCTGAAAGTGGAAGTAATGGTCGAGAATTAATAATTGCCGTGATGTGGCAGACGAGCGTGCGCAGCGAATCGAAATCCAAAATGGAAGAGCCAACAGATCGATAAAAATGGTGCTTAGCAGTCTTCACAGCGGCTTCCCATAGTCCGCCAAAGTGCGGAGAGCGAGGAGGGATGAACAACCATTCAATTGAGTCGGATAGGCAAAACTCGTTAACGGCCTTGACATGCTCGTCACTCAGGAACAGGCGGCTCAGATCTGCTAGTTCGTTCTTGGCACCTACGAAGTTTGTCGCATTGTCAGACCAGATCCTTGAAGGTCGAGAGCGAGTCAGGATGAAACGTTCTAGGGCGTTTAGAAACGATATTGTGGACAAATCCTTTACAAGCTCTAAGTGCACCGCCTTTGTAGCGAAGCATATGAACAGACTGATATAGCATTTCACTGGTGGCCTGTTGCGCACTTCGTTCTTGTAGTAAAATGGTCCACAGTAATCAACGCCAGTAACCATAAAGGGATACGATGTATCAAGACGATCAGCTGGTAGGTCTGCCATTATATGCTCTGCCAATCGTGGCTTGGCACGAAAACAGATTATGCATTTGGCAACAATACTGGAGACTGTTTTTCGACCGCCAATGGGCCAGTACTGGAGCCGAATCGAAGACAATAAAGCGCGAGGTCCAGCGTGTAAGTTTCGTTTATGAAAGTGAACTATGATTGCTCGCGTCACAGGATGCTGACGGGGCAATATAATCGGACGAGTTTTTCAGCCGTCCACCGATGCGGAGTAGGCCGAAGTCGTCAAGGAATGGTGCAAGAGAGGCCATTGAGCTAGACGGTTTGACATGCCTTCCTTCCTTCAATGCCTTGTAGTCATCGCTAAGAGTAGCCATTTGCACTGACCGCAGCAACCAATGTGTGCCATGATGCAAGTGGTCAACAGTTAGTTCAGCTCCTCGGATTCAATTTACAAATTTGTAAACATAAGCAAAGACCCGCTGCAGCTTGGAAAACGAATTGATGAACTTGCAGCCGATCGAGAGATCAGGTTGCGCTGCAGTTCCGAGCAGTACCTTGTGTCGAAGTTCTGGTAAGGATTGGCCAGGTACACAGGAGGCAGGCCACTCTTCCTTTCCCTTACTGAGAAAACTCGGACCATTGGCCCATAATGGAGACCGGAAGAGCTCACTAGGCAGCGCTCCCCGTGAAATTATATCCGCCGGGTTTAATTCAGTGGGAATATGATGCCATTCCATTCCAGTGGTGAGCTCTTGGATGGCTGCGACTCGGTTGGCAACGAAAACATTGAATTTCGAAGCATCATTGCGAACCCAAGCCAAAGTCACGGCAGAGTCTGACCAACAGTAATACCGACAGTCGAACACTTTCATTTGGCATATTTCGCTGAGAAGTTGAGCCAATAATGCAGCTCCGCAGAGTTCCAGCTTTGGTACAGTGATGGTTTTCACAGGCGCGACACGCGATTTGGAGCATAAGAGACGCACGCTGGTGTTGCCATGGCACTTTGAGACTGTATAGACGCATGCTCCATAAGCGCTTAGGCTGGCATCACAAAATCCGTGAATTTCCACTGTACTGTCTGGTGAGAGTGCTCGACGGGGATACTGGAATTGCTGAGTATACTCATAATCAGCGCAGAAGTTGACCCAGGCTGTGCTTAAGTGTACGGGCAGGCTCTCATCCCAGTCCAGTTTTTCTCTCCAGAGATCCTGCATTTCGATTTTGTTATTACGGGACCAACAAGACCAAGTGGGTCGTAAAAGCGAGCAATTGCGGAGAGTATCGACCGTTTTGTCAGTCTGGAGGGCAACCTCAGTGGCGAAAAGGAGAAAAGGAAACAGTCTGAAGCGTGATCCCAAACGAGGCCTAACGTTTTCGTGATGTCACTGCCATCGTCAAACTTAAGCAGCGTTTCTCTATCCTCTTCCGGTATGTTTTGGAGTACAGCTGTGTCGCTAGAACACCATTTTCGCAGCCTAAAGTTCCCCTTGGCGAGTAGTCCAGATGTTTGCTTCAATATCTCAATCGCATCTTGAACACAGCTACCACCAGAAATGAGATCATCCACGGAGAAATCTCTTTTAACAATGTCAGAGCCAATAGGGAAAGTTTTCTGCTCATCCATGGCCAGTTGGTGCATAGCTCGCACTGAGAGAAACGATGCTGGTTTTGTGCCGTAGGTGACGGTGTCTAATTTGTAAATCTGTATCTTCTGATGCTGAGACTCACGCCACAAGATACATTGAAAATAACTGTCTGCGGGTTCGACTCGTACGCATGGATACATTTTGCATATATCGCCTGTCAAGGCGACTGCAAATGTACGAAACCGCATCATTATCGAAAACAGCTTCAGTTGGATGGTAGGACCTGCCATCAGTGCATCGTTCAGCGAGTGTCCAGAGGTAGTAACTGCCGAGCCATCAAACACGACCCTTAGCTTGATTGTAGTGCTATCCTCCTTCAGCACGCAGTGATGTGGCAGGTAGTACTTGCATTGGCCCAGTGCAGCTGAGGTAACAAGTGACATGTGACCCAAGTCAAGATATTCCTTGATAAATGCTGCATACTGGGTTTTCAAAGCTGGATTGCGGTCTAGTTTTCTTTCTAAGTTCAGGAATCGAAGAACCGCCTGTTGATAGGAGTCACCCAGCTAATACATGCCTAGTCGTAGCGGTAAACGAACTGAATAGTCGCCAGTCGACAGACGTTTGAAATTGGCCTGAAAGAGTGCCTCACAGTCGCGTTCCTCCTTGTTTGGTAAGGACTCAGGCTCGGTGCAGCATTCCAATTCCCAAAAACGACGGATTAATTCATCAATCTGTGCATTCGGATGCAGATGTGAGTCAACCAGCAGATCTGGTTTCACCATCATGGCCATGAATGATGATTTTCCTGCATGTGAAGCACCTCCCGTAGCCACCCAACCAAGGCGAGTCTTTTGCAATATCGGCAGTCCAGCAGCCAGTTTAATCTGGCCGACGCATAGCAGATCGAAGAACAGACTGGCTCCAATCAACATGTCGATTTGCTGAGATTTAAGGAATTCAGGATCAGCTAGTTGTATATTTGATGGAATGTTCCATGATGCAGGGTCAAGAGTGAAGCCAGGCTGATTATCGGTGATGGATGGTGCAATCAAGGCCGGGATGCATGTGGAGTACTCCGACACTCGAGATTTGACAATGATGTTGACCGAAAAACCATCGGACGCAAATGCTGCATCACCAATGCCAGAGACGATTGCTGTTGACTTGAATTTGCGCAGCTGGAGCTGATGAGCAAGACGAGAGGTGATGATGTGCAACTGCGACCCAGAGTCGAGCAACGCACGGCAGGGCACCAAGGAGCCAGCGCGATTTTTCACGTTGATGACGGCAGCAGGACAACATCGTGCTTGAGATGCTGGGCGGTAGTGAGTGGCGAAGATAAAATTGCCGCCAAGGTGTTTTGGGATGACGAATAAGTTTCGGTATCTTGTGCATTGTTTGAGCTAGAAGCAGCGATGTGACTGCTTGTGTTGCCAAGATGCAACAAGCTATGATGCTTGCTTCCAAAAACTCTGCAAGCGCTGGAGCCGCAGACTCTCAGCTGATGTCCCCTTTGCAGGCAGTTTAAGCACAGCGCAAGCCGCTTGGCTTCGTGAAGGCGCAGCGAGGGCGATAAATTTGCGAATTGCAAACATTTATAAATAGAGTGGCCTGCGACTTCACAAAACACACAAGCACTCGTTCCATTCCTAGTCACTACAAACGTTCTTCTACCACTGTTGTTCTGGCCCACATGGGAGCTAGGCGTGTACATTGTCGTAGCGTGATCCGCATTTTCCAGCCTTTGGCAACGCCTCTCGATGAAGGTTGTAAACCGCTCGCATGATGGTATGACGTCCAACGGCGCATCATCCTCCCAGCTAGCTTGCGTAGCGCTATCTAGTTTTTGCAGCAACGTGTGTACTATGACGCAGCCGGCGATCTGTTCCACACTGCCCATCGATTTTAAAGCACGTAGAGAGTTGAGCTTATCTGAAAATTCGCGCAGCTGTGTCGTCGCGCTTTTATCCACCTTCCTCAAACCCAAAATTTCAGCGATGTGCGCCTGAAAAATAAGACGCTTGTTATTAAAACGCTTATCAAGCAGTTCTAAAGCGGCAGCATAATTAGCGTTTGAAATTTCCAAGGAGCGAATTGTATCCAGTGCTGTTCCTTTAAGGCATGACCGTAGATGCTGGAGTTTTTCCTAAACTAAACGGGAAGAATCCTGGGAAAGCCACATGCTTCACAGCTCTGGATCTAAAATCCAGCTACCATCAAATCCTGCTATATAGTATGAGTTCGGTCGACTTCCATTTCGACTTAAAAACGCTGGTAGCATATTTCAGAACGCTATCGACGACGTTCTGCGCGAATAAATTGGCAAGACATGCTTTGTCTATGTGGACGATGTGATTATTTTCTTTGAATACGAGGCAGATCAATTGGAACATTTCGACTGGGTCTTAAAAAGCCTGATCGATGCAAACATGAGAGGGGCTTCAGAAAAGTGAAAGTTTTTTAGGACTAGGTTTCGTGGTGATTTGCGAGGTACAAAAAGGTCAACGCTAAAAAGAAGTATGCTGAGCCGAAAACCGTGTTCTAGCTTAAAACAATGTTTTGGTAAGTCAGCTATTACAGAAGTTTCAGGAAATATTTCGCTTTCATTATAAAGTATTAGTATTCAATGAACCCCAAAGTCATGCTTACACATACCCGACAAATAGCAACAAAGAAGGGCTATCCTCGGCACGCCGAAGATTTAATACCGTTGCAAATCAAACCTTTTCATAATAATCATAATGGTTTGCCCGTATCTATAACGAACAGGAAATAGTTAATGCCGAGAATGGTTAAGATATCTTGAATACAAACAGTTTTTAATTTTCGACTGATCGTTCCTATGGGAGCCATATGATATAGTGATCCGATGTAAACAATATTTTGCATGGATGTAGAGAGAATAGTGAAATTTATGAATGCCGAGTTTGTTCAAGATATCTAGATAAACAAAAAAGTTTTCAATAGAACAAATTAATTTTCGACCGATCGTTCTTATGGCAGCTATACGATATAGTGGTCCGATGTAAAGTAGATTTTGCAATAATAAAGGGAACCTAGTTAAAATTATAAATGCCGAGATTGGTCAAGATATCTAGAAAAACACGAACTTAATTTAATCTTAATTAAGGGAACATAGTTAAAGCCGTGTTTGGTCAAGATATCTTTATAAAAAAAAAAAGTTGTTTATACAATATCCTACTTACCGACCGATCGTTCCCTTGTCGGCTATATAATAAATAAGAGTACAATACAATGATATCTAGTGTAATTAACTATATGTAATTTTACTTAATCACACAAGCACGTCAGTGCTGGTTTTCATTTATGTTCGGAATGATTTTATTCAAAGTCAATGTTATGTACTTAGCCTATGGAAACATGTTTATACTTATGTTGTTATCGGTTAACAGCTACAAAAAGAAAGAGAGAGAGAGACCGGGTGTACTCATACGTATGGGCGCTCACTCTCGGAGAGACTAAAGTGCAAGATCAGCGGTTATCCGTTGGTCAGCGGTCTCACGCTGTCTTGGCCTGCTCAAGTGGCAACATGTTACTTATGTGCGCAGCACTGTATGTGCATGTGTATGTATATACATATATACGATTATATTTATGCTATGCGCTTGAGTCTGTTCTTTTATATTTGTTTATACTTGCAACAAAGTGTAACACGTTATTTATGTATATACGAGCGGGTATAACCCGGCCTTGCCCGTGGCACGTATGTTATAAAATTAATGTTCTCAAAAAAATTTGCAATGATTTTGAAACTGATCGGACGATAAACAAACAACTTTCATACAAAAAGTTTGGATTCTGCGAAAAGTGTGAAACACGTCTCAAATGATTTTTCTTATAGATCTCTGGAAACGAATTTGAGTGCGAAACGTCAACCACCATATCTTTGACCTCCACTTCCACCAAGGAGGAACGGATATTTCGAAAAGTGTGAAACACCCCTCAAATGAATTTGAACAAAGATCTTTGAAAATAAGTTTGGGGCCGATCGGATCGTTAACAAAAAATTTTCATACAACCGTTTTCCGCCAATTTGCCACTGTTGCGGGTGGAATTTCCCAAATCGCTGAAATACGTATACATTAAGTTCTTATGTAGAGCTTTGAAAACAAGTTTGAAGAAAATCGGACACAACTTAAAACTTCGCCCAAAAATTCTTTAAATCGCATTCCCCCCGAAGAAGTTTGAATTCTGCGAAAAGTGTGAAACACGTCTCAAATGATTTTTCTTATAGATCTCTGGAAATGAATTTTAGAGCGGAACGTCACCCACCAAATCTTTGACCTCCTTTTCCACCAAGAAGGAATAGATTTTCCTATAAGTGTGAAACACCCCTCAAATGAATTTGAACAAAGATCCTTGAAAATAAGTTTGAGGCCGATCGGATGGTAAACAACAAAGTAACATACAAACGTTTTTCGCGAATTTTCCACACTTGCGGGTGGAATTTCCCGAAACCCCGTCTTAACGTGCACCTACATCACATAAGGTAACTACAGTGAAAATTGGGCTGTGCGTTGATCACCAATCAGTCAGTCAGTCAGTCAGTCAGGACAAACAGTTTTATATATAGAGATATATGTATGAATAAACCACACCTACCTTTTTAGAGAAACAACTTAATATTATAAATGTGTAGTTATATAATGAACTTAATTATAATTAAACAATCAAGAGGTTCTAGTCGGGAGCTCCCGACTAAAGGATACCCTGAACCCTCTTCTTCCAACACCAAGTGTAGCTCGCGCTACGCGCTCGTTTGCTTTAGTAGTAATTAAGATAAATTAAAAAAAAAAGTTTCTTTGGGAGGGTTCGAACTCGCAACTAACCGCACTACTTGCCACCACCTCCACCCAACAGCCACACCAATTATTGAGTTCATATAAGAAAAATATAAATTATTGCAGTAATGTTGATAGAATTCAAAAAAGACGCGCATGAAAATGTGTGTGTACATGTATACAGAAAGCAAGTTGCGCTAGCTGTCCCTGACACGTGGGCAGCGAAAACTCATAACTTTTGTGTTTCTTAACCGATCTAGATGAAATTATTAGCAGTAGATCTTATTGTTTTTTACTGACCAGACGACTGATCTGGTACCACGGGCGTTAGGGAACACAGAGGCGGTCTCGGCTCTCTGCTCTCTCCGCCATAGTCTTTTGGGACTTGTTAGGGACAATAGCTGGGCACCTTGCGGTTTGATCTATGATCAATTTGTAAATGCCGTCGTTTGCGAAAGAGGCAGGAATAAGCCTCGCTCCCCACAGTGAGAAAACCATGCCTATGAAGCTGGCGTATCCTGATCCAACTGTCGGTTGCTGTTTAACATCAATCGCGTTCTATTCCCTGCAGCAGTGTTTTATCGTTTCTGGGGCCATCAACCATTAACTGCTTGGAGTTTAAATTGGAAGTACCCTTCTGGTACGAGGCCTGACCAGAGGCTTGTGATCTGGTAGCACGGGTAATCAGGAGCCCAAGGAACTTGTTACGTCCACATTTTTGGTGCGGCCCTTTGGGGAGTATCGTGGTTGTTGTGGTTTGACACCCAAATGCGGGTAGAGCATCGCTCGACGTGGAGTTGCGTTGTACAGCCGGGTTCCGTGATCCACAGATCGGAAGAGGCTTAGATGGGCCTCGTGCCAAACCAAGGTAGAAGACACAACCAAACAGTCGTGTCTTTAATTGGTATATGCGGAATTGATGTTCCAAGGGGGCCGGTGATTGACGATTAAATTAATCCTATACTAGGAACCGTGAGATTAAGCCATCGTGGCAGGTGCTCACGTTAAGCCCACTGACTTTCATGTATTTAAATTGTGGCATATACTGGCGGGCATCATTAATTGGTTTATTTACTTGATTCATAACTTTGTGGTGGTAGCGGTGAGGTGGCGATAGGTATACAATCGACGATACTTGATATATATATACTATTCTAGAAGCTACATGTCAAGGTTGGTGACTCTGGCTTATATTATTTGACGAAATTGCTCTAAAAACAGGATTTCAATATTTTTATTGATAACTTGGAAACGGGGAAGTTATCGAATATCGGTAACAAACTCGAACACACTGCGCGGGTACTAGGAGGACCTACAGCTAATATTTCAAGTCTCTAGCTCTTATAGGTTCTGATTTCCTTGCGTTTATACATACGGACAGACGGATGAACGGACGGACAGGCAGACGGACGGACATGGCTAGATCGACTCGGCTATTGATGCTGATCAAGAATATATATACTTTATGAGGTCGGAGATGCTTCCTTCTGCCTGTTACATACATTTGCACATAAACATTATACCCTTTTTACCCATTTTCAATGGGTTCAAGGTATAAAAATTACTGTCCGACAAGTTCCCACTCCTTAGAATTGACAATATTTTAGATAAACTAGGTAGAGCAAAATACTTTTCATGCCTTGACTTAATGTCAGGTTTTCATCAAATTGAACTTGAAAAAAGTTCTAGAAATTTAAGGTCGTTTTCAACGAGCAATGGCTCATATCGCTTCACGCGACTACCATTTGGTTTAAAAATAGCGCCAAACTCATTCCAGAGAATGATGACGATAGCATTCTCATTCTCATTTTAATACCCAAAAAATAAACTCATGGAACCAACTCTGCTATAATACCCCGATTTCAGCAAAGAATTTTTCATAATCACAGATGCAAGCAAACAAGCATGTAGAGCAGTTTTAACTCAAAACTACAATGGACTCCAACTTCCCGTTTCATATGCATCAAGAGCATTCACAAAAGGTGAAAGCAACAAAAGCACTACGGTGCAAGAATTAGCCGCAATTTACTGGGCAATTACTCACTTTGGACCATATATTTATGGAAAACATTTTACAGTTAAAACAGACAACAGACCCTTAACATATCTATTTTCAATGGTCAGTCCAAGTTCTAAATTGACACGCATACGGCTCGAATTAGAAGAATACTACTTTAAAGTCGAGTATCTAAAGAGTAAAGTCAATTTCGTGGAAGATGCCCTAACAAGGATAACAATATCCGAGCTCAAAGATTTACAAGTTAAAGTCCTGTAAGTCACTACGAGGCACCAAAGTAAATAGAAAAACTCCTGCGCAGGAAAATATCAAGTAGATTTGCCTATGCAAACTCTTGACAACGTATATGAAGTCATTTGTAATGATGAAGTACGAAAAGATGTGGCCTTGCTGATAATAAAAAATATATGTTGTTTTAAGCATGGAAAAAAAATTATAGCAAGAATTGATGTTAGAGATCTGTACACCAATGGAAGATTTGACTTAGGTCAGTTTTTCAAAAGGCTTGAAAAAGCAGCCGGTATACATGAGATCAGCCAACTCAAACTGTCACCAAGCGAAAAGATATTTGAATTAATTTCAATTGAATCTTTTAAAAATATAGGCAACCAAATATTAAAATGATTACGAGTAGCGCTACTCAAGCTGGTGACCAT